GTTCTCGCAGCGGTAGTTCGGGGGACACTGGGAGCACGGCGTCCCTTCGCGGTACGGCCTCTGCCCCTTCACGTTCCCCCTGCGGGAGGCAAGGACGCTGCTGGGGGTCGGCCCCTCCTACCCTGCCCCTCCCCCGGGTCCGCAGCCTCCCGCCCCCAGCACGCACGGCGGCTCGTAGTTGCACACCAGCAGGTGGATGTTGGTCTCCTCGACTCCCTGGAGCGCCTCACAGAAGTGGGAGCCGCAGCCGATCCTCTCGGTCTTGCCCCAGACCACCTGGAGGCAGCAGAGCCGGGCCAGCGCTTAGCCCGAGGCGGTGACCCCTTCCCGCTGCCCCCCACCTGCCTCCTGTGTGGGAAGGAGCCTCCCGCCTGTGAGATCCGAGTCCACAGCCTAACCCGGCGACGAGGCTGGCCTAAGGCTCTGCTCCCCCTTCCCTCCTCCAGCCTTCCGTGGGGTCCAGGGCTGGGACGCCCTCATCAGTGCTTCCCGGGATCTTCCTCTCGTCCTTGGCGTTTTAACCGACAGGTATGTGCAAGGGAATGAATCTCAAAGAGTAGACTGGGACATCAGCCGCAGGAAAGTCCAAGGAAGGAAAGAGAAGAGGCATTTGAAAGCAGACCTTTCTCCATGCTGCCACTAAGCAGGGTCCCACTCTGCCCGCTGTTAGGCGTGGGGGCTCTCTCCTGGCTGGCAGAATGAGGGCTGTTTTAAGTGCAGGATGGAAACTTCCGCATGATGCCCTGAGGCAAAACCACCAGCTTCCCCTTGCCCCGCTGGGCCCGGAATCATTTCTGCCTCAGTCAGCTTCCAGGCAGAAGAGAGCGCGCAGTGCACCGAGTGGAGCTGGGCAGGCGCCCTCCCACTGGGCTCCGAGCCAGGGGCTGGGCTGGCCTGGTGACTTCCTGAAGGGGGCAGGTGCTGGTGGGTTTCCTTCCCTAAAGACGGACTAAAGCCCAGGGTTTAGCTCAGCAGCACCGCGCCTGCTTCGCAAGTGCAAGTCCTGAGTTCAGTCCCAGGTACTGAAACAAAAGAAAGCAGAACAGAACGCCAAAAGACTAGGACTAAAATACCACCCAGAAGAGGCCCCCAAAGCCTAAATATGAGAAAAGGAAAAAATGGAAACAAAACCCGCAGCTGGGGGTGTGGGTGGAAAGACGGCTGCTTTCGTCTGCCTTCTCACTGTTTGTAGGAATATTAGGAGGCCAGGAGAAAATATGAGCCCAAACATTCAGTGCAGGGAGAACCCAGGGGTGAGGAACAAGGTCCCAGAGAGGCAGAGGTGCTCAGAGGCACCCTGGAACCTGCAGGCAGAGATGTTTACGCAGGGATTTCTCTGGTTTGTTGTTATTGCTTTGGTTTTCTATCTTGTTCTGTTTGGTTTTTGTTGTTTTCAACGGTACTGGGGATTAGGCTCAGGGCCTCTGCACTGTGGTACATCTCCAGCCCTGTATATTTTTATTAAGACAGGGTCTTGTTCAGTCCCTAATTGGCCCAGCCTGGGCCAACTGCAATGTCCCTGCCTCAGCCTCCCCAAGTGCTGGGGTGACAGGTGTGTGCCACCATGCCTGGCTCAGATATATTCCCATATTTTTAAAGTAAAAACGACACAAGATCGTCTATGTGCTTTACCAGTCCCTGGCAGATTAGAGACCTCGAATTAGGCATCATGGTGAATGTAAAAAGAGCCACAGCAAGCCGGGCGTGATGGAAGGCGCCTGTAAACCCAGTACTGGGCTGAAGCAGGACTGGCAAGAGGTCAAGGCCAGGGCCAGGGGTTTAGCTCAGAAGTTCTGCCTCCAGCTTCGCAAGCACAAGGTCCCCAGTTCGATCCCCGGTACAAAAACAACAACAAAACAAAGCAAAAAAACTGTTCAAGGCCAAGCTGGACTACATAGCAAGACCCTGTCTCAAAAAACAAAACAAAAAAGAGCAACAAAAGAGCCACAGTCAGAGACAAGAGCTAGGGCCACCACCCGCCCCGCGCACACCTGCGTGTAGTGGCCGCACATCTGGCCGGCGGCGCAGGACGCGGCGCTGAGGTTGTAGTGCTCGCGCTCGTGGTTCCACTCCTCCATGGCCAGCGGCACGTCCAGGCCCTCGTCCGTGATGGCGAACAGGTTCTCGCCGCGTCGCCCACGCTCCTTGTTGTGGCCCCACACACACTTCTGGGCGTAAGCTTTGGCGAAGGCGGCCAGCTCCGGGTCCCATCGCTGCGGGACAGGGTGGCAGGTGAGGGGACCGAGCTGGGCACCTGCCTCCTGCGGGCTCCTGTGAGGAGGGGCTGTGGGTGTCAGAGGCGGGCAGGTGGCCCGGCCTTTGACGGGTGTGGTGCGGACCGAGTGAGATGCATTTGTGGCCGCCTGGACTTCGGCTTGTGTTTTGGGTCCATTTTCCTCTCCCGCTGAGGGGCGGGCACCTCCTCAGCCCTCTCAGCTCCCGCTGGCAGGGACACGGGGCTTCCAAGCGTCCCCTCTCCGGGTTCCCCTCCCAGAACAGCCCCACCTTCTTCAGGGGGGACCCTCGTGTGCAGTGTGGAGTCCACACGACCAAGGCAGCGCACTGAGGACAGAGGGAACCTGGATCCCTTAGCCGGCGTCCTTGGCCTCCCCTGGAGGCGATGGCCGGGCAGGGCCTCTCGCTCCACCCTCCAGGCTCCAGCCAGCTTCAACAACCAGACAGCCCATAAAGCGGCAGGGCTGGGGTGACCCCCAGAGAGGGGTGTGTCCACTCTCCACCCAGGATGGGGGCAGCTGCTGGGGGGGAGGTCGGGGTGGAAGAGCCACAACTGTTGTCCCTGTCTGGACATTTCTGTCCCAAGTCACTGAAGTTCTGTCAAGTCTGGCAGCAGTAGGAGATCCGGGGGTGGGGGTGGGGGTCAGGGTCAGGTGTCTCAGAGGACCTGAGGCTTCGGGCTTCAGGGCAGGCAGCCAATTGTCCCCAGTGTCCGGCATGGTGCAGGGGGCAGCAGGTATCTGTGCTGTCCAGGGTCCGCACAGAGCCCAGCAGTAGCTTGCTCTGATCACCTGAAGGCTGCCCCATTCCGGGGTCACTGCTTTGGGTCTTGCACTTCCCAGTCTGTGGCCCAGAGCCTCCTGTGGAGTCCAAGTCACTGGCCACACGGCCACCACCTCACACACGGGACCGGAGGGCAGAGGTCACGTAGCTGACAAGAGGCAGAGGCCAGGCGGGAAGCCAGCCGCCCGGCTTCACCTTCATCCCTGCCCGCTGCATCTGCCTCTCTGGAGGAGACCTCTTCCCACCCCAGCAGCAGGGCCCCCTCACGTCCCCAGTGTCACAAGCTCTCGGCCTCAGCCAGCCAGACGGCAGCACATCAGGGCCTGCAGACAGGGAAACTGAGGCCCAGCAGGGAGCTGCTGGCAGAGCTCACGTCCAGGCAGGCAGCGCTGGATGTGCGCAGAGACCACGCCTACCTTCGCACCAGGTCAGGGGGTCTCCGCCCCCGGGTGAGGGGGACACTGCTCCCCTGGCCCTCTGCCCAGCACTGCCCGCAGAGGTGACCGCACTGAGGCGGCTGTCGCCCTCCTCGCTGCCTGGCCTGCTCCACGGCAGGTGAACGCCCTGTGCGTTTCCTACTTTCCGAGACCATGAGGCCCGGTCTGTGCTGGAACACTGCTAGGTCAAATCGCGCCCCCACTTCACAGATGAGAACTGAGAGTAACCGGGTCACCGTCTCAGGGTGACACAGGCAGAGCTGGAACAGGGGTGCAGCGCCCTCGGCTTCTGGTCATGCTCTCGGGCACCTCCCTCCTGTCCTCTGTCCCCGGAGGGCCTGTGAGGGCCCCTTCGGAGGTGTCCCCTCCCGGCTCTCCCCACGGCAGGGGCCATCTGGGACCTGTGTGTCACGTACAAAGTCAGGGAGTCCGGGAGGCTGGCACTCACCATCCGCAGCATGTCTGAGGCTGGTGGGGACACCTGGGCGCGGAAAAGGTTATGCAGTTGGACCATCAGCTGTCTCTCGTCCTCCGTGAGGGCTGCGGCGGGGCCCACGGTGACCAGCAGCAGCGGCAGCGGCAGGAGCAGCAGCGCCCGGAGGCCACAGAGACCCATGGTGCTGGCCCTCTCTCTCTCCCACGCCTGGGGTCCGCTGGCTGCATTTAAAGCTGTTCCCACGCCGGCACCTCCCCGGCCGTCTGAGGCCCAGCCCAGCTCACAGTGTCTCAGCGGCGCCGGTGCCTTGGGTCCCGACCAGAGCAGAGTCCACTCCCCCGGAGCCCTTGGCTGCAGCCTGCACTCTCTCGGTGGCCTGGCTCAGGCCAACCATGTGTGAGTCCTCGATCCTCCTGGCTGTGGGCAGGTCCTCGGGCCCGGAGCCCAGGAACATCTGCACAGCTGTGGTTGGCAGCCCAGGGTCACACCCACTGGGTGCTGGGTACAGAAAAGAGGGAGCCATACAGCCAGCGTCCCCAGGACTGGAGAGAGTGGGACGGAGGAAGAGGAGGTGCGGGGGTGAAGGCTGGGTCTGCTCCTCACTCCATGTTTCCCGCAGGACCGAATGGGTGCCAGTAGCAGCCTGCCTCGCAGGAGGGCTGTGGGAGGACGCAATGAGGGCTGGTATGAGCCAGGGACCAGCGTGGCATCCGGCACCCCACAGAGGACAGTGAGACTCCTATGGCATGGCCTGGGCTGGCTCCGGTGCCCTGGGAGGAGGACCTCGGTGTTTCCCACCCTGGCTCTCTGGTGCCCTGTGAAAGCGCTGTTTGAGGTGCTCATCCAGAAATGGGATGCTGGGACCCGCTGCTCGCTGGAAATCCCAGCACTGGCAGGCTGAGGCAGGAGCATCACCACGGGCTGGAGGACAGCCTGAGGTTCTCAGTGAGTTCAAGGCCAGCTTGGACAACATAGTGAGACCTTGTCTCAGAAAAACAAAAAGAACGAGAGGAGAGGCAAGCACACATGCACAAAGGTGCGTGAGCCAGTGGAGGAGGAGTCTGAGGGGAGGGGGTGGGTAGAAACGGTGCGCGCCTGGTGACCCCATAGGCACAAGGACCGAACTCAGCTTCGCGACGCAGGAGGCTGGAGCCTGCACTCACGAGAGCAGGAGCGACCCTTGCAGCCGGCAGCTCAGCAAACGGGGTCTCGTGTAGAGGCTGGCTTTGGGGAGCTCGGGAACGTGGCCAAGGCCTCCAGGGAAGGACAGGAGCAGACAGCCTGGATTCCGGGTGGGGACAAACTGCCCAGTCCACCGAGGTGCAGGGTACAGACGCGACACCCCAAATCCCAGTGCTCTCTAGTCACTAACAGTGAATAATCCAAAAGGAAAATGAAGAAAGCAACTCCATTTATAAAAGCAATAAACAGTATAATTCTTAGGAATAAATTTAGCAAGGAGGCCAAAAGCATGTATGTGGAAAACCATAAAATACTGCTAAAAAGAATTAGAGACCCCAGTAAGCGGAAAGACACACCATTAAGGGTTAGAAAGCACACTAGGGTTGCAAGATGCCAGCACTACCTCATTTATAGATTCACTGCCATCCCTGTCCAAACCCCAATGATACATTTTTTGCAGAAACAGAATAACCCATCCTGAACTTTCATAGAGAACCTCAAGAAACCTCACTAGTTAATCCTGAAAAAGAGCAAATTTGGAAGTCTCACTTTCTGATGTTGAAACAACCACAGCTGGGTGCGGTGCCACACTCGAGTACTTGGGAGAAGTCCCAGCTACTTGGGAGGCTGAGGCAGGAGGCTGAGTCTGAGGCCAGCTGAGCAAGCCCTGTCTCAAAGACAAGCTGGGTACCACAGTGAGTGCAGAGCTCTGGGTTACACTCCTGTACTAAAAACAGCAGCAGCAACAGCAGCGAAACTGCACAGCTATGGTAATCAAACGGTCCTGATACTGGTATTTAGACCAAGGGAACAGAACAGAGAGTCCAGATATGGGTGTTATGTGTCAAATGGTCTCTACCAAAGTGCCAGGACCAGGGGGAACGGGACAACAGTCTTTCCAACATGACTGGGAAAAAAGAGCATTCGTGTACGCAGCGGGACCTGCACCACATACAAGGCTCACAGCAGAGTGACTCAAAGACCTCTATGAAAAGGTTGCCACCTCTCCTAGAAGAAGACAGTGGGGAGATTTCATGGGGTTGCATGTGGTAAGGACTTTTTGGATACAGCCCCAAAAGCAAAGACAACAGCAGCAATAAACTGGGCTTCATTAAAAGAACTACGACTCAATGACAAAAAATAAACAACTTGATTAAGAAACGGGCAATGGACATGAATACACTTCTCCACAGCAGACAGACACGTGGCCCATGAGATGATGCTCGTGTCCCTGTCATTGGGGAAACACAAATCAGATCGACAAGGGACACCACACCCATTAGAATGGGCACGCGCACGTCGGGGGGGTACTGAACTTGGGTTTGCACTGAACCACATCCCCTGTCCTTTTTTTTTTTGGTGCCAGGGATCAAACTCGGGACCTTGCACTTGTGAGGCAGGTGGTGGAACCACTGAGCTACATCCCCGGCCCCCCGGCCTTTTCTATTTTGGGACGGTGTCCCACTCAGTTGTCACGTTACCCAGGCTGGGCACCAAGTGACAACCCTCCTGCCTCAGCCTCCTAGAGTGCGGGGATTACAGGTGTGCACCACCATACCTGGCTTAGAATGGCTATTGTTAACAGCAGCAACAGCCAGAAACAGAAAACAGCAGATGCCGGCACGGCGACGGCACTGAGGCCCTTGTGCACGGCTGGCACAAATATCAGACGCCCACAGAAGACGGGGGGACGGGCCCTCGAATGATCAGACACAGCACGGAGGCAGAGCTTCTGCTGCGGGTCTGTGCACTCCCGAGAACCGGAAGCACAGGTTCGGGCCGTGTCTGCTGCGTATTCGTCACAGCCGTAGGAGAGGAGAGCGACACAAATGCGTGAGCGAGGGGACATGGTAACGAAGCAGGGTTACCCTGAGCGTGCGGCATCATTGCACCTTCGAAGGAAGAAAAGCTGGACACAGACACCTTACATGGATGCGGGAGATCAGACGCCAGAACCCCACGGACGAGACCTGAATCAAATCCAACACAGGCTCAATGTCCGCCTTATGGGGAAGTCTGATTCGGTTCTGGCCCAGTTCATTTTGCGAGCAGGATCGTGGGGAGCTGCGTGCGTGAGCCGAGGTGTGAGTGAGCGGGAGTGAGTGTGAGCTCTTCTCCTCTGAACTGCGGGTCTCAGGGGTGGGGGCGGCCAAGGCAAATGTGCTGCACAGACAGGCACAGGAGTGTAGGAGCTCAGGGCGCCGCCTGCCTCACAAGCGCAAGGGCCCGAGTTCGACCCCCGGCACCAAAGAACAAACAGAGTACAGGACACTCTAGGACACAGACAAGACAGCATCTCAGCCATCCTAGGCTCTTTCTCAGTGATGAAATCCAGTCAATCAGGAAGTTTAAAACAGAGCTGGGCGCGGCACTGCACACCTGTGATTCAGCACTCTGGGAGGCTGAGGCAGGAGGACTGTGGTGAGTTTGATCCCAGCCTGGGCTACACACTAAGTTCAAGTCCAGCCTATACTACACAGTGAGACTCTGTCTCAAAAAAAATGAAACAGCCCAGTTGGTGCACACCTGCAATCTCAGCACTCAGAAGGCTGAGGCAGGAGGATCCAAGAGTCAAACCCAGAAGGAAACACACAGATTATCAGTGTCAATAGCAGGAGGACCTATAAAAATTGAGAAGCAAAGATGGTGCTGCTCCCTGCCTCACAAACACAAGGTCCTGAGTTCGATCCCTGGTACCGAAAAGAAGTAGCAAAGAGATAAGATGGGAGAAAGCAAGCTATTTCCTCATCCTCAGAGCCTTGAACAATGTCATCTAAAAGACAACCTGCTTGGGCATGGTGGTACACTCGGGAGACTGAGGCAGGAGGATCTCTGAGTTCAAGGCCAGCCTGGGCTACACAGTGAGACCCAGTCTGTATACATAAAATTAAAATGTAAACTATAAACCTTATTAAGAACAATTCTAGTTTCTTATTCGTCACACAATGTTAGCTTTGTTTAGGAACTAATATTCTCTGTGGTGAGGAAACGTCTACTTTAATTTCTTTTTCTTCTGTTATTCACATAACATTAGACTTAAAGCTTATTTTTTTAAGTAGAATGATTGGTCTCATTTCAAGAAAAGCATTTTTATCTGGCCTTCCAGCCAGGAAGTCCCAGAGATGCCAAGAACATGGTTCTCCTAACGTCAGTGGTTGTTTCTGGGTGGGTAGAGGTTTTCATAAGATCACTCAAACTTCAGTTCTGTATACTGAGAGTGCAACATTTTTACAAAAATAAAGTCATTACTCTGGAAGAGTAAGCGTGGGGAAGTATCTGTCTTCGGCAGGGTGTCCAGAGGCTTGGCAGGCTGACGCGTCACGCTGGGGGAATGCACAGCACCCGACCTTAGGACGCAAACCAAGCCAACGCAGACAGCGCCTCACAAACAGCACAAGGGAACAGAATTCTAGCAGCCTGGGCCGGGGTGTAGCTCAGTGGCGCAGCACTTGCCAGGCATCTCTGCAGGACCCTGGGCTCCATCCCCAGCACCACAATAATCAAAGACAAATATTTTTTGAGGAAGTTGGCCTGGATGGAACTGGATCTTCACATTCAGTGTGATCCAAATCAACATCTCTCAGCAGCTTATCTCTGAGGCCAGTGACAAACTAAAGCTCACCTAACACCTGGGAGGCTGGAGGAGGCCAGTCCGGGTGACTCAGGGAGACTGCCGCAAAGTAAAAATCAAAAGGGCTGGGGATGTCTCCATGCCGTGCAGGGCTCTTGGGTTCAATCCCCAGCACTGAAGAAAACAAAGCTGACACGGAAGGGCAGAAGACAAAATCTCCAGCTCAGTGCTGCGGATGGCAGAAGGTTAGGGCGACCTTTCCCCACTTCGAGGCTTACTATGGAGCTGCAGCAACCAAGAGACCAGTAATCAGTGGGACGCAGGACAGCCTGTCCTGGGCCCGTGTAAATCCTACAGCAAACGGCACCTGACAAAGGACCAACGGCAAGAAATGGGGCGAACACGAACACTCCAACACATGCAGCCGGCACAGGTAGAAACCAGCAGGGGGATGAACGAATCTTGACACAGAGCTCAAACCCTTCACGGAAATTAACTCAGAACAGATTTCAGGGTCGATGTACAGTGCAGAACCACACAACCCTAAAGGATAACTTAGCAGGAGAAAGTCCGGGTGACCTTGGGTACACAGGTAAGTCTTAAGATGCAACAACGAAGCCTCAATCCAGGCCGAAAACAACTGATAAACTGGGTCTCATGGAAATTAAATCCTGTCCTGGAAGACACGATTTCTGGAGAACAAGATGATGAGCAGAGATCGGAGAAAATATTCACCAAAGACATATCTGGTAAAGGATTGCTATCCCAATGTACAAAGCGTTCTTAAAACTCAGTAAGAAGGGCCAGGGATTTAGCTCAGTGGTTCCAGTGCTTGCCTTGCAAGCACAAGGACCTGAGTTTGATGCCCGGTACAGAAAAAAAAAACAAAAACTCAGTAAGAAAACAAACAACCCAATGAAAACATGGGCACAAGACTAACTGACTCTCCTCACTGAAGACAGGACAAATGGGAAAAATGCTCAGCATCAGGTCAGCTCAGCACACACCGGTGCGGCCCAGGTCCCAACACTGGGAGCACCAAATACTAGCGAGGTGTGGATCCACAGCTGGCATTTTCGTTGCTAGCCTGACCGCAAAATCTCGGGGGTGTGGGTGCGGGGTGGATCTGAAGTCCTGTTTCCAGACAGGTAAATGAACAGAACTATGGACTGGAATCTTCTAAAAAACGTACAGTGGCGTTGTAACAAGCGAGAACACTTTGTAATTTCTTTTTTGTACTGGGAATTGAACCCAAGGGTGTCTACTGCTATATCCCTCGATTTTTATTAATTTTAAAAATTTCGAGACAGTCTTGGTAAATTGCCCAGGCTGAGCTAGGAGTTGTGATCCTCCTGCTTCAGCCTCCCCGAGTGCTGTGATTACAGGCATGTGCCACCACACCCAGCTAAAAACATGTATTTAAAAAATGAACTCCAGACTTCTTAGCTTATAACCCAAATAATCATGTTACAGACGGTGACTCACCACCACTTAGAGAACAGCTGGATGTTTATTACGGAAAGGGCCATGGTGGGCACACGGTGTAGACAACATTCACCTGGCCAGAGGGAGAAGGAAAACGACCCAGGACATTAAACAGTGCTTACACATTTACACAAAACCACAATGCAAAATCCAGAAATCACAGAGAATAAGTAAAGACACACAGAACGACTTAACTCCCATTCAGAGTGAGTGGCGAGCCCGGCCACCCTCCTGTGAAAACTGGGGCCCTGGACCTGGCCCGAAGTCTTTCACCTCATGGGGCACAGGTACACAAGACTGGAGATGAACGAGCAAGAGTCAGAGAGTTCTTATAACATACCATTTTTAACTGCAAAAAGTACAAACTTCCACTACGTGAAACCTGACTTTCTGTATGCAGGGTGCCATTAGTTCACACTGCGCCCACTTCCTCTGCCCTCCGGGCCATCCCAGCTGCCCCACTGCTGTCCCCGGGGATGCAGGCAGGGCCACGGGAGGGTGGAGCGTGAGCCTCAGGGCGACTGAGGCTGGACATCCCGGTGCCCTACGGGGCGGGTGGAGCCGGGGCTGAGGCACACAAGGCCTGGCACAGAGCAGTGGCCCAGCTCCCCATTTCTGCCTAAGGCACAAAACTCAGCCCAGGCTCCTCGAGCAGCTCTTGTCCCACTGTGGGTCAGTGGCCACTGCCTGCCGGTCGGCATGGGTGGAGCAGAGGCGGGAGGGTCCAGCCCCGGCCTCCGCTGGGTCATGTAACAAACTCACCGTCTCTCCACGGGTCAGGGTCCGGCTGGACATGTCACGTCTCCGGAGGGAAAATGACAGCTGCAGTTAGCACTAAAGCTCGAGCCATGCAGGCCAAGGCAAGCAGACAGCAGGCATCAAGACGGGCTGGCCAGAGGGTCGCTCCTGCAGGCTGGCACTCAGTCACCCCGGGCCCAGGTGGGCCAGTGGGAGATACCTGCCTGTGGCCTCAACGTGCTCAGTGCCGCAGAGTGAGGACAGGGACTCATGGGCTGCTGGGGACCAGTGTATTCCCAGGGCCCCTGTTTTGTCTTTGCTACAGGGCTGTTCCACAATCACCTTGACTTTTTCTTTGCTTTTTTTACTTTTGAGATAGGGTCTTGCTGTGTAGTTCAGGCTGGCATGGACTCACAGCAACCCCCCTGCCTCAGCCTCTCCAGTGTGGGGAGCACAGGTGTAATCCCTCTGCGCTGCAGTGCGCAGGTCTCCGACACTCTTCGCTTACATTTTTCTGGGCTCTGCATGGCTCATCACTGAGACAGTGAGTGTGGGCCTTGGGCGGCTGGACGTTTCCTCCATTGCTAGAAGTGCTCAAAAGCCTGAGGACCCCTCTGCACACTCCGACGCCTCAAGGGTGCACAAGATCCCTTGCCAGGCCACTGGATGCACCTTTCCCAGGCAGCCTTGTGGGCGGAAGCAACTGGGGGCCGCAGTCTCTTCCCAGGCTGAGCCATTGTCACCTGTGCCTAAGGAGCCCGAGATCTGCTTGATACGAACTGCGCCTGCTCAGAGCCCGTGGCTGGACTCTGGAAGAAGGGAACAGAAAGCTGAGAACTGGAAAACAAGTGATGTAACTCCAAGGGGACGTGCAACTGGAACTGGGCAGAGCCCTCCTCTGGCCACACATCTGGAAGCACGCGGTGACGGGAACACGGCTGGACACAGCTGCATTCCCGCTACAAATGGGAGTGGGAAAGTGAAAGCATTTTTATAAAAATCATATGGTGTTTTCCTCCTCCATTTCTGTCCAAGAGTTTTGCAAACAGACCCTGCCGAGACCCCAGCTTGCCCACCCAGCAGCCCTGCGGCTGCCCCACTGCCCACCTGTGTACACCTGTGCAGGGAGGAGCTGCTGCTGTACACCCGAACAGTCAGGGGCACACATTCCCCTTTCTTCGAGGAAATGAGCCCATACCAGCCCATTTCTTAGACTGCTTTACGTTTCATCAGTGGGCAGGTTTGTGTTTTCATAAACCACGACTTCTTACTCCGTCCCATCCCTGGTAACAGGGTGGGGTGAAGCTGGGCCCTGCCACTCGCCTCAGAAACCAGAAGAGCACGGTGCCTGGCTGCTCCAGCAGCCCGCCTCCCTCGGGAGGACGTCATCCCGGCTCGCACTCCGGACTCGTGTGCCAGTCCCTGCTGCTTGTGTACTGCAGCAGTGCAGGGGCTCCTACGGTCCATGTTCCCGCACCCCACTTCCTCGCCCTCCATCTGTCCATAGGCCGGAGCCAGCTGGTGGAGACCCTGCTGCACCCTACAGAAAGCTCTGACTGACCAGAAAGGTTTCTCACTTTGCAGTTTTCAGCAGAAGTTCTTATGGATGTTTAGAATGTGAAAGGCAGACGGAAAATGGGAAGGAGCAAGGTAATCATGGAAACAAAACGGCTCCCAAACATCCATGCCTCTGCCTGCTCTGCTCTTAAGGAAACTCCCTTCGTTAACTTCGAGGCCTTCGTGAGCCTGCATCCGGGTCACCTGTCACCCAGCCCTTGTGCAGCAGGCTGAGGACAGAGCAGCAGCTCAGTGCTGCAGAGCCAGCCTTGGGAGGAACCCTTGGATCAAAACCTCTAAAATCACAACTGCTTAGCAGTGTGGCTTTCATACGGAACAAAGTGTGTGTGATTTTTCCCTGATCATTGACACAAGCAGCCGGTCCTCTCCAGGCAAACTCCCCAAGTACTGTTCACCCTGCCTCCCGTAAGTTCACAGGAGGCTCCATGGTCCCACCCCAGCCCCGTGAATCCTCTGTCCTCTGCAAAACTCCAAAGAGGCCCAAGGTTCATGAGGCACACAGCCGGGCCTGGGAGAAGGGGTGTGGGGCTCCCCGAGGTGCAGACCTCCCAAAGGTCACCGTCACCTCCACTCAGTCCCGCCTGCTTTCATCTCTGAGGAGGTGTGAGCAGTAGCCAGCTAGGCAGCAGTGCCAGTGAAGGAATAAAAAACAGGAAAGAGGGAAGAATCTCTTATTTACACATCTGATCCACAGACACAAAGAGCATTTGAGGGGAAACAATCAGTGTAGCAAATCATCCGACCAGAACACAGCTTTCCATCATTACAAAAATATGCGATCACCTCCCCTGGTCTCCCACCACCAAGGGACCTTTTAGGACAGAGGAGCAGACCGCACACCACACATCTGCAAGGCAGCCTGAGGAGGGTCGGATCCTGGAGATCTAGCCCAGCAGGCGCCTCTGTCTCCCCTCCCCCTCCTCTCCCTCATCCTCTGAGCTGACAAGGGCGGCCCCGCCTGACAGGAAGGCTCCAGCCTGGCCTAGGGAGGGGACGGCTGTGCTGCCAAACCGTCCAGATGGGGCGGGGGCCGCACAGGACAGAGGGGTTTGGTCAGCAGGGTAGTCACACTGACTCCGGGAACCTCGGCCATGGGCATGAGGGACTTGTGTTACTCCATCTTTCTCCCTGGTTCTAATCCCATTCTGCAGATATTATAAACTGTGGCGATCTGATTTCTCCACGGCTTCCCAAACATGCCTAGGCGTGAAGATGGCAGGCGCGCAGGCCCACCGCTGGAAGGGGCTCTGGTACCAATCTGGCGGTGCCCATGCGGAGCCCGGCCTTTCAGACAGGTGCTGCAAAGTCCTGGCCAATCAGCCCAAGCCAGAGTCCTGCCCGAACCATCCGGGAAGACGGAGGGTGGGTAGGCCCTGGGCACCTTCTCCAGCATGCAGGGCAGGCAACTAAGTAACCAAGCCCTGAAAAGTGGTTTCATTGTTTCTGTTTTTATTTCTCCTCTTCCAACCTGGCTCTGAGGTCTGAGTCACTCCACAGTAGGTAGAAGTTCTGGCAGTTCTGTCGCCTATAGTTCTGAGAGCGTGGCTCCGTCGCAGATGACCAAAGGCTGGTCTCCTCTGGCTATGACGTAGGCTTTCCAGTGGGCGGCGCTGGTGTAGCCTTGGAGGGAAACAGCGACAGGAAAGCATGTGTCGGGGTCCACACAGCCAGCTCCGCTGTCCGCCAAGCCCGGCGGCCCGGGTGCACACACCGCAGAGGCCAGGGCGAGACTGACCCGGAGGTCTGTGGCTCCTCCTCCTCTTCTACCTGACACCCAGCCGGCCACTGGAAACCACAGGCCTTCCCTGCGCCGCGCCCTGTCCCATGCCAGGCCCGGGCTGGGTGAACCCTGCTGCAGCGGGCTGCAGGGACAGCCAGCTCGGGACTCTGCCGGATCCCAAGGGTGCTGGCCAGGTGGGAGGGGCTCGGAAGGGGGCAGGGCCCTCTGTTCCAGCCTCCTCTGGTTAGGTAGCATGTCCTGATTAACTGAGAGCAGCACTTCTCAAACTGGGTTCTCCCATACGAGACATTCCAAAGAGAGGGACCCCGGGAGGCCTCCTGAAGAGCACCGTGCACCGTGCACCAAGGCAGGCACTGCCCCAAGTCAGGTGACCCAAGAACCCTGGGTGCAAGGGCCACAGTGACCCTAGGTCAAGACCTCTGTCATCTGAGTCCTGTGGGGATGGGGCAGGAGGGGCAGGAATCCTCGGGCTCAGACCCAGCCACTGCCATCGCTGTACAACACAGCACGGCCCACCACGTCCTCTCAAGAGGGACAGGAAAAGCAAGACTCTCCGAGGGTGCTAAATATCACCATGCCGAGGTGGGCCACACTGGCTCAGACACTTAAGGAATTAAGAGAGCGGATTAGACTGAGTTTCTGAGCCACAACACAGTAACCCTAAGCAACAAAGCACCCCCAGAGCAGACTGTGCCTAGCGAGGCGGTGCCTGTGCTGGGCCGGGAACGTGGGGCAGGTTTCAGTGTGGTGCTGCGCTGTCTGGTGACAGTGGATGTGGGGCCCGGCCGGGTCAGGGAGGCTCTGGCCCAGGTTTTCTGTGATTCACTGCCCCTCCCTCCACCTCCCCAGCATGCTGGGAACTTGTCACGGGGCCACTCTGAGGTCCCCAGGAAGCGGGGTGCCAGGCTGGACGGGCACTGCATTGTTCTCCCTGCCCGGGGCACTTTTCCTGGCCTCGTCTGCAATGGTGGCAGCTGCAGCCGTGGCCCCGTCCCTGAGACTCTCAGCTATCGCTGTCCTCGCCTGCTTCCTCCTCCTGTCTCCTGTCCCCACCGTGCTGACCTTTCCTAGACACTGCTGGCCACAGGTTCCCTTCCACCTGGACAGCGGAGCAGCCGCAGAAGCGCGATGCGAGAAGGCTCCGGGTCTGAGGGCAGAGCCTCCCGACTGCTGCCAGACGCCTTTCCCCTCGGTCTGTCATCGGTGTGCGCGGACTGCTAATCTGGAACTTGGGTGACTCAGGTGTTTCCACAGTTAGCTGTGCGAACCATCAGGCATTTATAGAACCTAAGGCAGAACCACAAACTGCAAACCCAAAGGCGCCATCCAGATTCCTCCATGGTCTCCTTTGTGAAAGGACAGCTCGCTGTTTCCTGCCTGAGTTTCCTGAGGGGCAGGCCAGCTGTGCTCCTTTATTCCTTAAGGCCTCCTGCATTATTTTTATTTTTCAATCCTAAACTAGGTAAGTTGCATAACTTGGACCAAAGCTGGGCACAGCTGGCTGTCTTCTTCCCAGCCCAAAGGAGGTGAGAAGTTTCTAGGAATTCGGTGTCTCCTGAATGGCTGAAGTTCAAAGAAATCAACTGGAAAACGGGTCTGGGCTCTGCCGGGGTCACCAGGCCTCTCTGGTGAGGCAGGAAGTGTGCAAAGAGGTCTGAGGGTGCTCGGCCACGGGCCTACCTCCTCCCAGAGGCCAGGGTCAGAGACGGCGGCTGGCAGTGGCTGAGCAAACCCGAGTCTGCGGCACTGGTTTTCAGGGTGCAAGCACAGGGTGGGTCTCAGTGGGGAGGAGTCAGGGCTGTCACCAGCGTGAGGCTGTGCCGTGACCGTGGGACACACATGGAGACCCCATCTCCCCGGGACCACTGCCCAGCGCGCTGCTGGGCACTGCCTCATTTGCAGTGAGGCCTCGGAAGGGCTCCTCTAACCGGACTTGTCCTGCCCCTGGCTCAGTCAGACACTGAAGACCTGCCGCCCCGCCCACTTCCACCTCCCCATCCTAAGATGAGGAATTCATCTAAATATTTCCCAGAATCCTGACCTGAAGTTTCTTTGACCAACAATGCAATCACAGTGCTGCGGGCACAGGTTTTTCTCTCGGCTACATTAGCTGTTTTACTTCTAAGCAGTGCTATCAACCTTGTCAATAAAAGAATGCTACGTTTGTGAAGACAATGTTTATACTGCTTTGAATATTTTCTGAGTTAAAACCTAGCTGGGTGTGGTGGTTGCACCAAGAGGCTCAGGCTGGAGGATCCAGCAAGATTGGTAGCAAAAAAAGCCAAACCAGGGTTGGGGTGTAGCTCAGAGGCAAGGTCCTGAGTTCAATCTCGGTACCAGGAAAACAAACAAACAAACCCAACCCAACCAAAACGCCTCAGGAGCCCTCACCCTCCTTGACCCTACATACCGATGTCCCCCGCCTCTACTGGCATGGCCACGGACTGACAGTGTCGCCGGCAATGGAAGGGCGGGATGAGCTGCAACATGGCCTCGCCGCTGCCGACTGCGAACAGCTCGTGCACCCTGTGCCTCTGAGGGAAGAAAAGGGGAGGGAGGGAGGGAGAGAAAACAGAAACAACACCCTCATGCACGGGCCGCGAGCTGCCCAGCAGCCTAGCAGCGAGGGTTTCTAAGCAGAGAGCCCATTTCTTCTATGCATGGCATCTCCTGGAACTGAGACCAGGGTAAGATCGCTCCTGTGGGCTCCTCTGAGAGGCAGTGAAGCTCCCAGTCTGCAGCTGTGCTGAGCCACAGCTTCAAAGGCGCTCAAAGGCAAGGCATTTTATTGCAATTTTTGACTCCGGAAGCTGGGTCTTGAATCCAGGGCCTTGAGCACACAAGGTAAATGATCTGCCACCAAGCTACTCGCTGTAATTTCCCAGAAGCAGGGATCTCAGAACACGGCCCTTGGAAGGTCTGGTCTAAGCCATGTGGAGGTCTGCATGCTCTGGGCCCCTCCAGAGGTCACTGCTTAAACTCCCCTTCCGACAAGAATCGCATGGCAGCAAGGTCACATCTACACTCGCCGACGCAGATCTGCTGTGCCACTTAGACTAAGGACAGGAGCCTGGCCTGGAGATCCGAAAACAGAAATGCCTGGGACGTGCACTGCACAGGAACCACGCCAGGCATTTAGTGCAGCCGATCTGTGCTGGGCAGGGAGCGGTGCTGGGGCTTCACGGGGGAGGGAGCAGGAGCAGAGGGGACACGGTGACCAGCCCCCCCCCGTAGTTCTGAAGCAGGGCTCACTGGTCTGATGCCCTGGCCCAGTCTTGGCTTTTTCTTTACCACTTTAGGCCTCTAGAACCTTGGGTTTCCGGCCCTATCGGCCCCTGACCGATTCTGTTTCCAAGGCAACAGCAGAGCCACTTACTTCACAGGCTGCCGGGTGACAGGAAGAGGCTCAGATCTGGCCTGCGGGTGATGGAGCTACTGCAGACTGCCCTGCCACCCTGGGATCTGTGGTGTGGCAGGGCGGATGCCTCCCTCTTTCAGCAGGCCCAGAGGGAGGCGGCAGCCCCTCCAGGCCAGGGGAAGAGAGAGACGGCCCTGCCCGTGGGCGGGCAGAGAAGGCCTTGCTGGTGGACCCCACCCCACCTCTTATCTTCCGTCCCACAGCTGCCTTGGGACCCAGGGCCCAGAGACGGGATGTGGACATGGGTGGGGTGATGAGAAGGAAAGGAGAGCTTGGGCCAGGGTTGGGAGCGTATGCTCTCTCGGAGAGCGCAGACCCTCAGGACTTCCGCTCCAAGGCCACTCGCCTTCCAAGGGTCTGGGAACCACAGTGACATGGCTTCTGTAAGGCGCTCACTCCTCAGGCCTCAGATTGGCAAAACTGACTTCCTTATTCAAGGGGGAAATGGAGATGAAGACAAAGGCCCTTGCCCAGTATTGTGTCATGGTCAGGAAGATGAGCTCAGGGGAGGGCCCGGGTCCCAGCCAGGAACAGCAGGACACACTGCTGCGAAGTGGGAAGCCAGGCCGGCACCTCCCTGCTGCTGGCAGACGAGAGCTCTTACTTCTAGACAAAGATGATTATTTTTATGGCTTTTAAATTCCTTCAACACAGTCCGGCAGATTTGGAGCCAAGTAAGAGTGTTAGGAGGTTGGCGTTACAACCCAGGTTTTGCAGGGGTCAAACCTTGGGAAATTTACAAAAAACTTCGGTTGAGGTCCTGGGGACGGAACCCAGGCCTCGTACATGCTAAGCAAGGCTCTGCTGCTGGGCCACACCCTCGCCCCACACCTTTTACAAGGGAAAATTACGCATCCAGGCTCAGACACCTTCCTCAGGAATGAAACCCCACAGAGGAGCAGATCAGACAAGAGCAAAACAGACAGACACAGGTTGCTCTCAGTCCTGGGCCAGGCCAGGAGGAACTGAGGGTGGACAGTGGGCCTCCCCACTTCGTCACCTGGAGTCTCGCACCTGCTACCTATCTCAGGGAGGCCACGCTGGCTGGGAGCAGGGAGCGGCGGCTGGAGGAGTCTGTGACCCTCCTGTGACACTGGACAGGTCACTCAGTCTCTCTGGGGCTCAGTTCCCTACTCTACAGAATGGAGACGTTGGATCAATCGTTCATACACTGCTCATCTGCGACTCACCTACTTTCTTTTTTTGTTTGTTTATTTACTTATTAGTTGTATTACCTTTTGGGAAGTAAAACTGTTATCCTCAATACCAACATGAATTTTACTGCTTTTCCATTTACTGGGAAAGAGAATCCTTAGTATTTGTTTAGCAAAAAAAAATTAGCAGACAATAAATGCAAGGTTTTTGTATTGGATAAAGAAGGTAAACATTTTTCCTGTTTTTTTTTTTTTTTTTTGGTACCAGGGATCGAACTCAGTACCTTGAGCTTGTGAAGCAGGTGGGAGAACCACTCAGCTAAATCCTTGGCCCCTTATTTATTGAGACATAATTTTACTGTGTAGCCCAGGCTGGCCTTGAACTCATGGTGATCCTCCTGCCTCAGCCTCCTGAGTGCTGGGATTACAGACATGAGCCACCACACCCAGATGAAGATATAATTTTTATTTATTTAATTGGAACTGGGGCTCAAACTCAAGTCCTTGCGCTTGCACTGAGCTAAATCCTCAGCCCAAAGACATAACTTTTAAATCACACCTTCATACTTCTGTTTTGTGTTTGGCTTGGACTTTGGCTTGCAGACTGCCATCAAGTTTTAGAAACCATCAGGTTTGCCATACAACTGGACAAATTAATATCTGCTCTCTATATGGCCAAGTTTGTTGTTTTTGCCAAAATGAAGGGATGTTTACATACAGCTCACCTGCCGTCTGATTGGAGGTAGGGAAGCCACATGAACTGCACAACCGAGGGTCCCACCCCCTTGAAAGCAGAGAAGTGGCTTGGCCCTGATGGTGACAGGAGGAAACAGGCCTGCCAGGAAACCAGGCTTTCTGGGGACCTGGCCTCATAACAGGGCGGGGGCACTGCAGGCCCCTGGTCAGTGCAGGAGGGGAGAACCCCAGAGAGCGTGCTGTCCCCAATGCAGCCTCGACGCTGACGAGGGCCATACGGGCTTCATTACTTCAGTCTAGGTCCCCAGCGAGTTGAATTCTAGACAAGTCCTCTGGGAATTTCCTACCTTGCTCCCCACAACAGGTTCCGGGCGGAGAAGGAAGCACTTTTTTAAGGAGGCATCTTTAGGAAACGAGAGGCGGGTAAAAACAGGAAAAAGTTCACGCAAAATCTGTGATCTGTTCAGAGGTCTCCTCCTGTACGTGTGAAAGAGAAGAGCGTCAGGGGAATGCACGCTGCTTCTCTGCGGCCTAGCAGGGCTCCTAGCAAGGGTGGGATCAGGGG